AAGATTAAAAAATATACAGAACGTGTTCCAGCAGTGACTAGAGTGTCCTGTAGGTATTTCTGATTATAGCAGTTAAATTCAACAGCTGAGTGGAAAAATATTATTTTTAGAAATTTATCATTGAGTCATTCAGTCTTAAAAGAGAAATGGAAAACAGCTAGAATTTAGATAACAAAAAATATTAAAGGTCAAAATTTAAAAGACAATCACTCATACAAGGTCTGTGGAATATTTGATACTCAGTGGGGAGCTCAGGGAGAATGCATTGTTGAACATCAAAAATAGTAGACTTTTGAAGCAAGCTTTTGTTAGCTAATTAGCAGTTACCAACAGTACAGCAGGGAGGAAAGACAGCACCAGGGAAAGGAAAAAGGAAACCAAGACAGTTTGTATTACAAAAGAAAAATACACACAATCCCAGCAGTGTCCTTTGAATAGCAAAGTAAGAATGCCTTTCTGAAGAGTCAGTGTCCTTTCTTGATGACTGTGATGCTTGCTACATAATCAGGAAATGAGAAGGAAAGATTCACTGAGGAGGAGGTTAAATGAAATTCTGTCCCCAGAAGGATTGGGCCTCCTCATCCAAAAGGTGTTTAAAATATCGTAAGCCACACTGACACTTAAGTGTAGCTCCTGTGCTCTTGACATCCAGCTAAGGCAGTGACAATGAACGTGTGCCACGGCAGGTTATTCATATCATGGAAAGCTCTGAAAGACTCGCCATCACTAACCAGGGGAGCCGTGCTTAAGGAATTCAAGGTGGATTAGGATATAGCTGGACCAAAAGAACAAATTCCTCCTCTACAGGATGCAAATGTGAGCCAGTTTGAAAGGAAATTAATTAACTAATTAGTTTTTAAGATTTCTAAGGGTAAAAGGAATGAATTTCTAAAAATCTTGTTTCATCTCTGTCCAGCTAATGAAGCCTGTAGTGATAAGTAGGCTTACTGATTATTCAAATATAATTTCTTTCTCTGGAAAATGTAATTTCTTTTTTTAAAGAGAAATTTTGCCTAGAAAATCCATTCTTTTTTTTTTGTTTTGTTTTTGAAAGTACAAATAAAAATAAATATGTAATTTGATTTTCAAAAATCACTGAATAGGTTGCTGTAGGAAAGGGTTTTGGGTCCAGGAAAAATACCTGGAGTAACTATGTAATGCTCAAGATTCCATCCTTCCATATACATGATGAATTCAGGGTGACTATTCAACTTGATCTTAATGAATATTAGAAATATTGGTCCCTGGCAGGAAGAAGCTTCCTGTGGTGAAATCTCCAGCGTTTGAATGGTCTGACTTTATTTCTGGAAGGTAAAACCTAAACCAAAGAGGATAAAACCCAAATGCACCTTCACAAATCTGCAGAGAGTTAGTGACCTACAACATAGTAATAAAATGCCTTAAGTTATGGATATGAAATGAACGCATCTGTGCACTTAGTAGCAGCAAGGCAAAAGCCAGGGAATCCTGATAAAGAGCTTCATGTTCTCTTCCAAAGACATTCACCCGTCCATCCCCTCATCTCCTCCTCTCTTCTTCCTTTCTTCACCAAAAGCAAAACAAAACTAAACAGAAACTAAACTAAACCTCTCAGAAAGTCAGGGTGAGCCACACAATTGTATCTGGAAAGCCATGGGGCTGTGGTCACTTTTCCTCAGTCGTAACCTGATGGACAACTGAGGTTTGTGTGTCATGACTCAGCTCAGCAGATCGTCTTGATTAGAAAACAGTATTTTCAATGAGGCTGTTTTATGCAACAGCTTTTATGAGGTAATCATAGAAGCTAAGGCCTCAGGAAGATAAAGATTACTGCTTTAAATGAAGTAGAAAGTTAACCAAAGATGAACAGTCTTGTTTTACACAAGAGCTGCTATATCAGATTTTTCTTAGGTATGAAAATGACCTGCAGCATCCCACTAGATTTTAGAATCAATGTGGGCTTTGTTTCTAGAGATAATAATGATTGGATCCGTGGCAAATAGAAATGTATGTGTTTTATTACCAAAACGTTTCATTTTCATTTCATTACATTAGTGTCTGTGAACGGTTATGTTTAGTCTTCAATTAAACATGATTTATACAAATTGAGGTCAGTTTCCATTTAGATTGCTTGCAGTGTTAATCACAGTGCAAACAAGCGTCACTGTGGAGAGAAAGCGTGGTGCCACTAAGGCATAATCACGGTAGTGAGATTTGCTTCCTTGCTAGGGGCACATGTGTTCATGTGTGCCTACATGTGTAGCAGTGTTTTGCTAATTCTACTAGAGTATAACTCATTGTAATTCACTTAAAGTCGCATTTGCATTTTTATGAATTTGGATTTAAGTAGTTGCTGAGTTTCAACAAGAAAACATTGGAAAGATTCATTTTAAGAGAGGCTTGTTCTTTAGCCAGAGCTGAGTGTGTCCATACAGTATTTCCACTTCCTCGAATGCAAATCTAGTTCATTCTGCTTTCTGTTAACCTCTGAGAACTGATAATGTTTTATGTAAGAATCTGATGTGTGTTGCAGTGACTCCTGCATAGCCATGTTTATAGCAGCAGGATCCCTCATGGCTGGATCTTGAAAGCAAACCCTATGTCCATTAGCAGACAATTGATGAAGCGTGACCTTTATACACAATGGAATATGAGTCTGTGACCAAGCAGGCTAAGCCTGAGTCATTTGTGGGGACACGGTACACCTTGAGACTACGACGTTAATTGAAAGCAATCAAGCACACAAGCTTAAATATTGTGTAATTTCTTTTATATGAGAAATCTGAAAATATAAATAAAGAGTAAAATAAAAGAAAGATGATAGGAAGAAGGTGGATAAGTATTTCTAAATGGAAGAAGAGGGATCAGGAGAAGGATGGGGGACCCTGACAGGAGGGAAAGGAAGTGAGAAAAGGAGGTAAGCTCTATTGTGTATGCATGGGCTCCACAGAAGGAATGTACTGGAATAAAGGTGTTCATGTCAAAACATTAACAAATCAGATGCCCCTGTTGATAACCCACATTGCTGGTTGTAGTTGTGGCATGATGATCATGAAGTTTAAAGGTTGATTTGTCTCGGTTACATGCACACTCCTGTATTTTAAGTGTTGTTCAGTGTGTAAAGATGGGGAAGATTTAAGGAAGCAGATATCACAGCCTGCTTATTATTAACATATTCCCAGCTCTTGGTTATTCTCTCATGGCTGACTATAAAAGTTCCTTTGTTTTTACCTGCCGGGTCACAACACCTACCTGTGACTTTACTCATGATGCGTGCAGTCCTACATGAGAAAATTCGGCCTTTCTACCAGAGAACTAAAGTATATATTGGTCCTTTTTCCTGGAGAACTAGAAATGACTTATGCTTGTTTTTTCTCTCCTTTCCCCTCTCCTCGTTTTTTCTCACTTTCTGCTTTACCTTCCTTCTCTCTTTTGATGGAGAGTTATAGTATCACAAGAGTCAATGTGTGTGTCTTTAAGATAGAGTTTAACTATATAGTCCAGGCTGCAGTGATCCTCCTGCCTCAGTCTCTTAAGTGGTGGGGTCACAGGTGTGCACCACCACACGTGGTCACAAGTTATTTGGATTCTTGATAAAAACAGTCATGAATTTTCTCTATGCTCAAGTTGGGACAAAAAAAGAACCAAAAAAAAGCTGCCTTCAGAGAAAGTTGCGACCTACCCTGAGGAAATCTGGACCATGTTTTCTAGACAGGAATTTGGATAAAAGTGTGGCTGACTCTGCTTGCAGCAGGGAATGCTGCTAAGAAGTTGAAAGAAAGGCCAGACAGACAGTTTTTTAGTACTTTCCCTTTGTTCTTTCTTGAGAGGAAGATTCGGCAATCATAGTGCCTTCAGTCTCTGGGGGAAGGCAGGGCTTCCAAAATATCTTTCATACACTAGATCAAAAGGCTCCGTGGGATCTAAATGCCTGTCGGCTGCCCTCATTGCCATTTCTGGGCCTTGTTAGAAGTTTAATGAGAAATATTTAGTGGCACTGTTGGTCTTGTGGCTCTAGTGTGGCACTTCTCAAGCTGCAGAGAATAGGGGATGGGTAAGTCTTCCCCGGTGAGGCTGGCCCTCTGACTAAGGGAAGGAAGACGTGGTTACAGGTCATTGCCAAGTGGTGCCATTTAGGTTTGTGAGATGGTGAAAAAATGAAACAACCACCAAATCTGGGATTCAGAGCCCAGAGGGAATACAGAGAGAAGGGGAGGGTGCTTGTGTCCCAACAGCTCCAGAGAATTAAACAAGGTACTGCACGTGGAAGGGAAGACATTGATGTTTCACTGAGTTCATTGTTTCCTTTTAGCTTTGAAAATGCATTTGTTTCCCCTACAGTGTCTAAAGTCTGCATGGAAAAGTGTGTGATTTGTTGAGTGCATCATATTTCATGTGGTTTTGCACCATTGTGTTGAATAATGGTGCACCAAAAGTAAGTCCCCCAGGCACCACAAATTCAACACCTCCTGAGGGAGATTAGGAGGTGATCATCACTTACATGTATTACACTTTGCATGTAATGAGCTTTAGCTGTTAACTCTAATTTGCTTCTCATTGTATTCATCAAAGGTGGACTATTTAGAAACTAAAACATCTCTGTCAGGTAGAATTTTAATGAATTAAGGTGAAATGAGACACTGTTAATTGGCAGTTGTTGCTGCTGGATGATTTCTAGATTTCGTCAGTGAAACCAATTCATCTCTATCAGGAGTAATTTGTTTAATTTAATTCTAAGGATACACTGAATAGTTCTCCAAACTATTTGTATGTATTTTCAGAATTGGAGAATGGTTTAGCTTTGTTCATCTTTTTACCTTTTGAATTTTTAGTTCTCCTTGAAATTGGTGTAATTTGATTTTTACCAAACCATTGGTTTAAGAAGCATTCATATTGATACATTTTACACACAAATAGCCAAGGAATGGTGTGACTCAGATATTTTTATTTAAAATGCCTAAAACCTCCTCATACCTAATAATTTCACTGTTAATCCTCTTCCTCTGTTCTGTTTTCTGCAGACATAAATGAGTGTGAAGCTGAGCCTTGCAAGAACAGTGGAATATGCACAGACCTTGTTGCTAATTACTCCTGTGAGTGCCCTGGAGAATTTATGGGGAGAAATTGTCAATATAGTAAGTAACTACATATACATAATTTTATTCATATGGCCTTCATTTATTATGGAATCTGGGCCAAAATCTCTATTGTTTTTTATTCAGAGTGCACAATTCATTGAGATGGGACCTTTAGTATTTGCTGTTCTTAATTTTGCAAGAGGACACGTTTTATCCGGGACATGTCTTAGCACACAGTACATGACAGGACCATATCTAGGACCTGAAAAGAATGTCAGTAGGTCTTCAGGTATCCGACCTCACCTCCTCCACAAGTTCCATTTTAGCTTTTGAGCATGGCTTGCATGTTACAATCAGTTGCTTAGGAACATAGAGGCACTGGAACCAGGCAGCCCCTATCAAAATTAAATCGGGAGAAAGAAGGACTCAGTTTACCCAGGGTACTTGTCAGCAGGGTTTCACAGTCTGGCTTCTTGGCAAGTGAAGATGATAAAGAGTTTGAAGATAAATTGAATGGCAGGATCTTTATTTGTTTGAAGTGATTACAAAGAGGCAGGCAGAAGTATTGTGTCTGAAGATACACAACTGGGAAAAGTAGTGAACAGACTCTGGCTGAGGCCTCGCTGAGGCTGAAACACAGGCAAATAAGAACACTTGCGGTGTAGTGTTACCATTGTTGTAACAGTTAGTTATAATTGTGGGTGAGTAAGAAAAGATCACAGGCTAAAAATCTCTATATATTATACCACCAGAGCATCAGAACAGTGCTCTGTGCAAATGCAGAATGAAGATGCAGGTGAGAATCTAGATATGGGAGGTGCTTTGCCCAAACAGTTAATTAATTAGTGATGGAAGCAGAACTACGAATAATTCAGGTCTTTGGCCTCCCACTCCCACATGTGTTTTTCTCTAAACTGAGATTTCACTTCCAATCCAGATAGTTGAGATGAACCTGTACATTACAGCTTCTCTCTCTCTCTGTCTCAGTCTTTCTCTCTCTGTGTCTGTCTCTCTTTCTGTCTGTCTTCCTCACACACAGAGGGAGAATGTATCCTCTTTGGAAACAGTAACACATTTCTCACTTTCCTTTGCATTCCCTCTTTTCCTCTCCTTTCACCATGGTTTTTATAAAATAAAATAGAGAATAATACAAAATGATTTCTTTGAGTTATGTATATAAAAATAATGATCTACAAAGTGCCAAATCATCCCCCTAATCCTAATAAATTTCACTAAAATAAATAAATCCTTTGTTTCAAATAAAAGCCTTTATTGGTGGGGAGGAACCCAAACTTTCATCTTCCTAACATAGTTGGAAGAAGGCACTGCACATGAAATGCTGAAGAAGCCCGAGGTGCGGGGGACCAGAGGCGGACTGAGGCAGCCGTAGCACAGACAGGAGCACAGCGCCCCTTCCCTTCGCACTGCACTGACTCCACCAGCTGCAGTCGGGGTGGTCCTTCTTCTTCCCCGGCACAGACCTGCGGCCTTTACTGTATTCTATAGGATTTATAGGGTGGCTTCCTGAATCCTGGATTCTGTGCTGGAAACACTTCCAGGGTGCCTAGGAAGGGACAGTTTCTTAAGAGGAAATGAATAGATGTCAGTGAATGCTTCACGTTTGTACAGTTTGAGGCCCAAACAGAAGCTCTTTACAGGAGTTCTGGAGCTTTGGGAGAGCTAGACTCTGGCTGGCTTAGTGCTCGGGGGCTCTGACTCACAGCAGCCTGGCCAGGGGCACCTGAGGGCAGAGGCTTCCAGTTTTCCTAAAGTGGGAACTGTCTGGGACAGGTGCTGGGAGGCCAGCCTGGGGAGAGAGTCACCAGAACGCCCAACTCTCACAGTTCACAACGCGCTCAAGAGCTGGCATCTGACAGTACAGACCTCTTAGGCTTAGGACAGGGAAGAATTAGGGTAGAGGTCAGAAGCCTTAGTTGGAGGCTGAGGACCTGATGAGACAGACAGGATAGCCATGGGCAAAGGAATACACGCGATGCCCCTGCGCTGCCGGAGAAGAGTGGAGGAGACAGTTCTGGCTGCCGATATGTTGACCGTGAAAGGGAAGCAGATGTTAGCTGGATGCAGAAAGAATAGAGCAAAAGCCATCTCTTTCTCCATTGTAGATTTGAGTCGAGGTCACTTCATCTGAAAATGTCCTTGAGATGCAGGATGCCAGCTGGGTTCTGGGAGGACGCATTGAGATCCACTGTCAATTTAATTGACCTCAGATGGTGCCTGGTGGTCTACCATTCAGCTTGTGATGTTGTGCTTAGTGAAACTCTTTCTTTTTCCTTGACTAGGTTTGATATTCATGTATAACTTGTATTAAAACTCAGACTCCTCTGAACACAATGCAATAGTGCATAGCCTCCTGGGACCTGCCAGGTACTCTGACACTGTACACTTCTTCTGCTTATCTTTGCATCTCGACAAGGAGATCAAATGAGCCCATTGTATTTCACCCTAGTATGAACTCCAATTGAGGAAGTTGCTTATTTTGCTGAGGGTCTAAATGATTGGAGAGCTTATCTTGTCTATTGCCTAGGTGGCTGGGTTTTTCACTCTCCTGTGTCTTCCTAGAGTTGTCAAGGAAATTCAAAGTAGGAAAGAACTTTCTCCCTACTGAAGATTCAGTTCCATGCTTTGAGGCTGTAGGGAAAGTGCTCACTCCAGGGTGACAAGGAATCAGGTTCAGGTCCCAGTGGAACCAGCTCCGAGCCACCTGAAGTTAGGCAGGATGTATCTCTAGGCAATAGTCTACACTGGAATAAAGCTGTGACACTGGTTTGGACACTGGGTCCTGTTGCACAGGGTTACCTCTGTGGTCCCCTGACACCTTGTAGAATTGGCAAAAATCCCTTTGTTTGAGGAGATGCATCGAGAGAGAGAGAAAAGGGGAAGCGGAGAGATGAGCTGTGTGGTGCTGTCAGATGCCCACTTTACAATGTTACCGTCCTGCTGTTCAGTCCCAAATGGCAGTCAGTCCGCTCTTGGAAACAACAATCATACTTGATTTGCAGACTCTACTTCTTTTTATTTTGATTGCTCCTTCATGCTGTGTGGATTAGTGGAATTTTACATTGCTGACTTATTTTAAAATGAAATCATTTTAAACATATAAAAAACTTAAAAAGTGGAAATGTTGCAGAGGAATAAAACTAACAAAATAGTAAGATATAAAAGATATAAATAAGCTGGAATATTTATAATAAAATAGAGGATAAATAACAATATCATTAATTTATTACTGCTTTTAATACAATAAAATTAAGCACAGTGACAGAAGAGAATGGTACAGATATGCTAACAAACTCCTCATAAAGGAATAATACTACTGAATCATGTCTTCATCTTTATGTTTTCTGTATATTTTGAATACTCGCACTTAGGTGTACAGCATAGCCACTTTCTTCCCAAGAATAAAGATTCTTAAATGAGTTCTTAACGAGAGAGTGAGCCCTGGATAAATGAAAATATCTGAACTTAAAGGGCACCTCCCTTTGCCTCTTCATTCTCCTGTGTCTGCTACCTCTCAGTTTGGGAGGGAAAAAGTGGAAGCTGAGGGGGAGGAACGTCTGGAAAATAGGCACCCATACCCTTCCACTACAACACACACATGCAGCACACACAGACACAGTCACACCTACCCCTGAAGGAGTTTATTCTTAATCCTGAGAAGGAAATCACAAAGCGAAAGTGGTGACAAAGAGAGGGCTTTTCTCAAAGACATACCATCTTCTACTTCTCAAGTTTGCCTCCGGAAGGTTATCTCTGACTGCCATCTGTGCTACCTCTGGTCTAGGCTCAACCCATCTTCCAGAGCGGACCATTTTTAAGGAGGCCTGTAAGTACCACTTTGCAGCCTTCCAATTTCCTGATGTCAAGCACTGAATGTGACAGCTCTGTCTCCAGAAGAGCCTGCAACACACCCGCTCCTCAGCTCACTCCTTCATCTTTCTCTAGCTTGCTTATTTAAAACAGTGGTGGGCAGGTAGAGAGTCAACTTGCTTGGTTTGAGACCCATCGCAGGAGCTGGTGGAGCCCCTGTGGTGTCTGGGTGGTGGGTCGCGGAGGTGAAGCCATGAGATGTATTTCCCTATTCCCTTCCCCATTACTCTGTTCCATGTCAGGTCACACTCCTGTCCTCCTTCTGGTCATTGCATTGAGGCAGTCTTCTCTGCATGTCCTTCCTTGCCACTTTTCCTCTTGACCTCAAGATATCAACACACACTTCTTCGCTTTGCTTTTCCTCCTTCACGCTCATGAAAACCGTGTGTTTTCACACTTATGTATTGTTATTGAGTATTCACCCAATATTTACACCCAGAGGAGAAGGATTTCACTGTTGTAAACTAAGTTGACAGGTGTATGCTGTCATCAAATAATCTGGGGAAGAAATGAACCCAGCTAGCTGAGTTCCTTTGGTGTGGAAAGGACATTTGGTTTTTCTCAGTGTCTTTAACTACCATCCAGTTATTTTCAGCCTGATTTTTCCATTTTTAAGCAGCCTCCTCAAGGTGCTTTTGTCAATATACTAAAATTTATTCTAGCATGTTTGTTGGTACTTAATAAAGGCGGATAGAAAGTGGAATTGCTTTGCTTTGATCCAATACTTCTCTTACAATTATGTGCTGCCCTGAGCTTATGAAAGCACATTGAAAATGAGATAAATGGCTCTCTTTTTAGGCTGCTTGTGCATGCAGACATCTTGAACGTTCATATTACATCACTTGTGTATTTAGCAGTAGGCTCCTATTCCTGCTGTGAACAAAACCAATGCTACCCCTAATGAGCCATGAAACATAAATGCAGTGATTGGAGATAATTTCTTCATGGTGTAGACAGACAGAGCTTACTATCTTTCTATGTATCAAAAAGATTTGCCCATCTCGAATTCTATCCTTTCTCTGCTTTTCCCTGATTTTTACTGGACTTTCTATTTTAATCTGCATTCTAAGGCAGCCTTTGTTATTACAACTAAAAGAAATATTTTGAATATTAATGACATTGGATATTTGAAATATATATATATATATTCATTTTCAGTTAAACAATTA